AGCCGCAGGCACAGCCCCGAGAACGTCACCAGGAACGACGCACCCAAGGCTCCCGATAACCCTCCGAGTGGCTCGTGCTACGATCTCCATTTTACAGACGGCGAGTCTGGGGCCCAGAGAGCAGAAGCAACTTGCCTGAGGTCACACAGCTGGTGGGTGACCGAGTGGAGAGACCGGAACCCGGGTCTGGCCCGGGAACTGGCGCAGAGACCCGCTCGACTGCATGACCAGCCTGCTACAGAGCCGACCCGGGGTGGGATCGGCCCCACTGCGGGCAAGTCTGCGCTGCCAGGTGCACCTTCCCAGCTGGGAGCAGGGGCCCGGAGGCCGTGCGCCAGGCCAGCAAGTGCCTCAGCCTCTGCCCGGAGCCTCCTGGGGCCAGGCTGAGAACAAGGAGCGGGGGTGGGGGGCTCGGGGGCCAGACAGGCAAGGACGGGCGGTGGGACCACAACCACACACAGGTACCGCCTCCCCACGGGTGCAGTCGCCCCAGCAGCGGGTCCTCGAATGCCGCCTGGAGCGGGGCGCTCACCACCTCCCTGGCAGGTGTCGCCCAGCGCCGCACAGTGCTCCCTCTTGGAAATCTCCCCGCCCCCCCCGCCACTGAGCTGGTGGCCACGATCTCATAAACGGCCTCGCCTGGAAGACTGAACCGCTTTGGCCGTGAACAGAAGCGACGGCGTCTATCGTGAGGTCACGCTGACTACTGCGCGGGTCCGAGTCCCGCTCTGAGCAGACGTCCGGGAGCGCGGAGCCGCCTCACCGCCCCCCGCGGCCACACGTCACCAGGCAGTCCAGCCCGGTCCCGGGCTGCCAGGCACTTGTCTTTGCCGACACGTGTGCGCTGATGTCGCTAACGCACCCGCCTCTCCCGCCGGGAAGCCTCCCGCTTGGCCCGACAGAACGACTGAGTCCCCAGACGCTACAGATGGGCCCCCGAATGTAGGATCAGTAATAGGGCGGTTGTTGTCTTAAAGCAAAGCTGGGCCCAGGAGATGCACGTGCGGCACAGACCGCGTGGCCGGGCTCAGGGCGGGCACCCCGGGGCGGGCTCCAGGAGGGGCTGTGTGCAGGCGTGCCCGCTTGCCGCAGCCTCGTCCCGTCTGGTGGGGACCCTGGCAGAGGCCTGTGGGAACCCAGCGTGAGAACCACAGGGGGGCCGTCGGTGTTTAAACTCGTGGGCCAAGACCCATGGCTCAGACACGCGGTGCAGGGGGGCCCAGACGCTGCCATTCGGGGCGCAGGGCCGGGCTGGGTCTGGGCGGGAGCTCCTGGGGGCCAGGGTGACGGACAGTCCTGCACGCGCTCTGTGAGCTGGGTGTGCACGGGCCGTGGGGGCTCGGGGCCACTCAGAGCCCAGCGAGCGAGGGACAGGTCTCGGCGGCCTCGTCCCGACAGCCGGGCTGACTGGCCCACCCCCCGCCTCGGGCGCGGCCTGCGTCCCCGCTGCGGTGACTGCCCAAGAAAGAGTGCAGAGCCCGGCGTGTGTCCTCGCGCGTTCCCGGGAGGCCGTGCGGAGCTGGTACTTCTAAGACGACACGTGTGATGGCGGGAAGCCAGCGGAGCTCTCAGGGCCTTCCCGGCAAGAGCCGCACCTGGCGCCTGTCTCCGAGGCCTGGGTGCCCACAGCTTTCAGCAGGAAGCGTTAATTACAGCTTAAGGCGGTTCGTTCTGCCCGGCGCATCCGGGGCCTCTCCCCTGCCTGGGAACAGCGTCTCAGGACGCGGAGAGAATGGACACGAAGCGATGCTCGCAGAGGAGAAAGGCCGCTACCTGTAAGCTCCAACCTGTTCCGAGAGGCTGGGGGAAGCCGGCGTGTGCGGAGGCCGGCCTCAGAGAACGACCGAGCGCTGGGGACCCGGGGCCTGTCTGCCCCCCACGCAGGGGCCACGCCGGGACGGGCAGAGCCCAGGAAGCCGACTGACACCCTTGCGGGCCTTGTTCCTGAGCGGGGTGGGGGGTGCGCGGTGACCGTACTGCTCGTGCATCACACAAAACGGCCTGGCCACACCTGCGGCCTCTCCTCAGCCCCCGGGAGTGGCCCGTGTGAGAGAGGAAGCGACAGCCCGAGTCCTTTCTCCGTGGTCACCTGGAGTCTGGGGGCCGGGTCCCTCTTAGAGCGCCCCCACCCCCCGGGGAAAGTGGGCTGGGCAGGACAACGCCGGGGAGCCCGGGGCTGGGGACGGGGGCGGCATGGTCTCCTGACGGCTGCTCTGACCCTCCCCACAGGCCCCCTCCCTGCTCGGCCGCGCTGTGCCCCCTCGGGGTCACCCCGCTCCTCACCAGTGGCCCAAGCACCTGCCACGGAGCTCACTGTGGTCACGGGTGAGAGCCCTGGCCAGCGTCCCCGTTGCAGCTGAGTCAGCCCTCCCTTCACTTTTTCCCAAGCTGCCCCTACATTTGCTACCTCTGACTCCAGAATTAAGACACAAACACACCTTCAACACAGTAGGCCTGGTTCATTGGCTTCTGATGCGTCCCCGTAAGAACGCTAAGTTCTTCATAGCGGGCCCTTATTGGGTCTCTGGGATCCTCTGCACCATTCCCACTTGCTCCCTGCCCCTGGCAGGCTCCTGCACCAGGCCCTGCATCCCTACCACAGGGCCTTTTGCACATGCTGCTCCCACTTGAATCCTGGATTGTCATCTTCCGAGGGCAGCGGAAACATCAGTTTTGCTTCCCAGGCTTCCCCAAGCACAGGCAGCTCCCCTCGGCCAGAGACGATCACATACATCTTCTTTACTCCCCTCCCTGCCCCATGTGGTAGGGAGCGCTGCCAGTGGGTGTGATGTCAGCGGCAGGACCCCTACTGGGTCAGCTGCGCGCCCTGCAGTGGCCGAGGCTCCGTGGCCAGCACCTCTGAGCCTTGCCACACTGTTTCACAGACAGGGAGGCTGCGAGTTTCAGTGAGGAGGAGGTGGCAGAGGTGGGGCCCGAGTCCCCGGGGTTTCAATGCCTGCCGGGCAGCCTAGGCCGACAGTCTCAGGGCCACTGATCCACCTCCTAGCAGCTCAGGAGCTCGGCCCTGCGAGGCCGCCATTGCTCGCAAGTCACCCTACGGAGCACCGGCGGGTGCTGGCTTGGCGGCCCCACGGGCGCCGGGACCCTGAACAGGAAGGAGCCAGGGGGCTGGTTGAGAGCCACCCCCTTAACCGAGCAGGCAGGGGTGGGGGACTGTGGCGTCGGGCACGAGGCTTCGGGGCGGGGGACCCCTTAGGGACACCAAGCTGCTCTCTAGATTCGAGGGCGGGTGGGGGTCTGCACGGCGTCTGAGGGGAGACGCCCCAGCTCACATCCTCACCAGGACCCGTCCCAGAGCGGACGGCCACCCCAGCCGCCCCCAGCTCTGTTTCCAGCAAGTGCAGAAACGTGCCGGGGAGCCAGCCCCCCTGCTCAGCCTTCGGCGCCCGGGCCTGAGACACCGCTCAGGTCACCTGCCCCCCGCCCCCAACCACCCAGGTTCAGCCAACGCGAACCCGCTGCTCCAGGGAGACCAGGCCGGGCAGTGCCCTCAGCCCCTCCCCCGCCGCTGCCTGAGGATTCTCTCAAACACCACTCTGGGTTTGAACAGACTCTCGCGGGCAGGGGCGGGGGCTGCTGGGCCGGGCAGGGGCGGGCTCAGGCCCAGTGAGGATTTGGGCACCGGCCCTGCTCTGCCGCGGACGCCTGTCGTCCCTTCCCTCCTCTGCCGCGACAGACCTCCCCGAGCTTCCGGCCGGCACCCCCGGGGCAGCTGGCGGGCGCAGGTCCCGACCGCGAGGATTCTGAGATTCTGAAGAATGCTCCCGAATGAGGGTTCTGGTGACGCCTCTGACGCCCGCTCCGCTGAGCAAGGAAGCTCCCGTGCCGCATTCCCTGTCTGACCGATCTGCGCGGATCTGATCCACACTGACAGGCCCAAACCACCAGCCTCCGTCCCCACCTGCAAACTGAGCAGCTTCTCGGCCCAGCCCTGCCCCTCGCACGCCCACTGTGCACGGGGACGATGATGGGTGTGCAGAGCCTGGGGGGGGGGGCGCGGCAGTGACGTGAGGCCCCAAGGGGCCCCAGCAGGGCCGTTGCCAGGCCGCTGTTTCTACGCCGAGTCCCTGCGCCACACGTCTGCCCTCCGCATCTTTAGAACCCAACTCGGGGGCTCACACCTCTTCCAGCAAGTCTGCCCTGATTCCTCCTCCAGACCTCTTGACTTGTGTCCTCTCCGTGTCCAGCTCTGTCTCCTACTAGATGGAGCCCCTAGAGGCAAGGACTGGGGCTCTGGTGCCCAGGGGGCAGGTCTGCACACTGCTGCCCAGGACCGGAGTCCCAACCCCCCTCACCCCCCAGCAAAGCTGGGACACGGGGCCACAGAGGAGGGAACGGCCTGTCTGCTAATCCAAAAACACCTGCCGAAACGCACCCAGCCACCACTCACCAACCTCCCACGCCCCCCGCATCGGAGTCGGGTACCAGACGAGGGAAGCATCTTAGAGAACAATGCCCTGGACTCGGATGGCACTGGAGTCCAGCGGGTCAGGGCAGGGGCTCTGGAAACAGGCCACAAGCTCGCTCTGGATGCCCCGGAGCTGAGCGATGCTGGGAAACTCACACCAACCGTCTCTGGGCCTTGGTGTCCTTCCCCGTGAGGTGGGCACGTGGGCCCCGCAGGGAAGCTCCGAGGATCTAATGAGGGACGTGCCCCAGGGCCGGGCGCCGGCCCCGATGAGTGCCCGCATCGCCTGGCACTCCCAGTTCTGAAGCGCCTGCCTTCCTGGCCCAAGGATCCCGGTCCCGGGAAAGAGGGCCTTTTCTAAGAGCAAAGCGCCTTCCTCGGCTTCTCGTAAGGGGCCCGTGGCTGGGCTGGGAAAGCCAGGCTGCTCTGGGACACGGCAGAGAACGGGGCGTAGTCCCTGCGGCCCCCCCTCCCACGCTGGCTCCTGGCAAACGCTGCCTGTGGACGGTCTCAAGAAGGAAGGGCGGGCAGGGGCCCATCCAAAGTACCCGGACGGCGGCGCTCCGCTTACCCCAGAGGGCCATGAAGACCGAGAAGAACACGGTGGCGGGGTTGTCGAAGAGGTGGCTGGCCCGGGCCGTGGCGCACGCCGAGCTCATCTTCCAGTAGCTGCAGGTCTTGTCACACAGAGGACACATGGTGATGTTGTGTCTCTGGTCACACATCTCCATGCTGGAAGAGAGGGAACAGGCTGCAAGACCCCGGGCCGGGACGCGGGCCCGGACGCTCACACGGACGGACACCGAAACTCAAACGCCATCAGCTGCGTGAGCAGGGGCCTGTGGGAGCGTCCATCTGGCCCAGACCGACTTTGAGCACGAGCATCAGCCCATCTTCACTGAAGATGAAGAAAGAAGCCCAGAGGGGGAAAGTCACTTGCTTAGGGTCACACAGCAGCGTGGGCACTGGGTCCTGGTCTCTACCTGCAAAGCCCACGCCCTGCACGACCCTCACCGACTGCTCCTGGGTCCTCCTCGGAATATGCCTGCCCTCTGTGCCCCTGGCCAGAACCGCCAGCCCCAGACTCAGTTTCTCCTTCTGGAAGACGAGGAGGGGGGCTGGAGCAAGGCCCTCCCAGCTCTGGCCTGGCCTGAACTTTCTCCTCCCTGCTGACCTGGACACGCGCTGGGCTAAGGATAGACACCAGGCAGGAGCGCTCTTTCCCAGGCGCTGAACTGGGGGCCGTTTTCGTGTTTTGTCTCCGGGTGCACATGATCCTACGCCCGATCGTGCCTGGCCCGCAGCGGCCGGTGTTTAAGGAACAGCTGCTGAGCAGCTCGGGGACCCTGCTCAGCCCCGCACCGTGGGCGTCCTGGCTCCTTCTCACTTCTCAGTCACACTCACCAGCTGTAAACACACAGTGCACAGGCCGCGCGCGCCCGGTCTGTACCGGGCCCTGGAGGCGCGAAGCTGGACCGTAGCAAGGCTGCCGCCTCGGGGCGCCCGGGGGCGCGATGCCGTGCGTGGGGGGCAAGGCGGAGCCGGCACACCCGGGCGGTGGGCGACACGGCCCTTGGAGGCGGCTGGCCCTGGCTTTGGGTCTCGGCTCTAGCCTTTGTAACCTGTGCGGCCTGACGGGGTGTGTGTGCGGGGTGAGGAGGGGGCGGACACACAGGCGGAGGGCACTGCTCGTGCGTGGTTGGCAGGGGCGGGGGGGGGCCTCTGGCACATACAGGTGGTGGGCGGTGCGCAGACGTGTTTGGCGGTGGGGGGGTGGGGGGCGCTGGCGCACACACGTGGTGGGCACTCCCCCCCCCCACCGCGTCCAGCCAGCCAGTTCTGCCTTTGAGCCTAGGCTCCGGCATTTGTACTCAGTGCAGCCCGGGGCAGGTTGTTCAAACTCCTCGGGCCTCAGTTTCCCCACGGAAGAGTGGGGGTGCTGGGAATGAAGCTGCCGCCAAGTCGGCTGTCGGGAGGAGTAGACGGGAGAGCGCACGAAGCCCCTCAACAGCGCTGCTCGTCGTTACTTCCCGGGGCTGACCCGGCACGGACAGCGTGAGGGTGCACGCCCTGCCCGGCGCCCAGCCTCCTCTGCTCGCGGCCCTCCCTGGGTGGCAGGTGTGAGAGGGGCTGGGACGCCCCACCCACGCTCTCCTGCTGACAGAGGCCCCACTGTGAGCGCGCCGCCTGGGGCCACGGTGGCCTGGCGGGCCGGTGGGGGCCGGGGAGGGCCAGGCCCACAGCTCTGCCTGTGGGGGGGGGGGGTGCTCGCCGCCCAGCCCTCCTCCCTGTTGGCATACACAAGGCCAGCCGGACAAGAAGCCTTTTTTCTGCTGGTTTTAAGCCCTGTGCCGCTCCCTTCATCACCTGCAGCCAAAATAAAGACCAGGCACGGGAAAGTCTGTTCTTTGGAGTGGGTGGGCAGGGTGGGGCCGGCAGGCGGCCCCCCGAGGGGCAGGGCAGATGGGACTCCGAGGGGACACACACCTCCTGCTTCGCCCACAGCACCAACCGGGCATAGGGCAAGAAGCTCCGAGATTCTTCTGGAATCCCCAGTAAATGCTGTTTGCCTCCCGTGCGTCAGGAGGCGGGGGCCCCGGCCTGGGGAACCCGGGCACCCTTGTAGGGGAGCATACACCTGCCTGGGCACAGCCTCCGGGGTGAGGCTCCGGCTGTCGGTACTGCCCTCCAGGGCAGGGGGAAAGCGAGGCAGAGAAGTCCCCGGGGTGCCCGGCCACTGGCCATGTCCCTCAGCGCTCTGCAGGTAAATCCCCACCACACCCAGGCCGCCTTGATGGCTGCAGTCGGACCCAAGCTTGGTGACCTGATGTCACATTAGCCAACAAAGACACAAGCTTCCTCTGGCCTGTCGGTGCCCAAAATAACCCTGGAGGGGACCTAAGCCAGATTCCTTTACCGTTTTGATTCCGGGTGGGTGGAATATTTTAGGTGTTACTCATGAACCAAAGCATTACTTATACAAAAATTTGCCAGATATGGCCTTTCTGTGCCGCCGGGTCGTAAAGAGCCACCTTCCTGGCCAGGTAAAGACTCATCTGAACTTTACTGCCTGGAACTACAGATGAATTTTCCGAGCCTCAGCCCTGCTCTGGAGACTCTGGGCTGCATTGGAAGAAAGTGACGTCCTAGGATCGTCCCCGAGAGACTGCAGGCCTGTGGAAGGCAGGCCCGGCGGCCCTGACAGAGGCGGGGCCTGTCCGGCATACGACACAGCTCCCTCTGGCTCCGTGTTAGCGAGTCAAGGAACCAGCCGGAAAGGATGAGAATCCGTGCCCACTGAGGAGCGGCCTCCAGGCTCCCACCGCCTGACTCATGTTCTGGCTGCCATCTGGGGACAGCCACACCCCAGCGCGAGGCCAGGCCGTCTCGGGGACCCCGGCCTCCTTCCTCCACAAGCTCCCCGTGCCTGACGTGCCCGTCGGGGAATGGCACCCTGCACCACGTCCCAGAGCCCCAGGCGAGAAGAGAGGGACTCGCCTGAGTCCAGGCAAGTCGTGTGTCTCATTCCCTGAGCTCACCGGGAAGAAGGGCATCTTCTCACCGCACGGTGACTGAAAACTCAAAGGGGGGAAAACCCTCCAAAGAATGAGAAGCAGTCGGATGCTCATTTGTCGTCTCCCACGCTCAGCTCTCGAGCCCGCGGCCGCGCCCCTCCCGCCCTGGCCTGCGGCTGCGGCTCCCGGGAGGGGGTGGTGCCGAGTGCTGGGACGGGGGCGGCGCCCGCCTACCTGGGGATGTTCTGGTCGACCGTGGCACATCCGTACAGGAAGACTATGATCCCGACCACGGACGCGGGGATGAGCATCTGGGTGTACACGCCCAGCCAGGCGAAGTACAGGCCGATCTTCTCCCCGAAGTACTTCCTGCGCCGCGGGACAAACGGAGACCCGCTCGCCATCACCCCACACCCCTCCCCGCCCCGCAAAAGGAGCACCTCGAAATGGGGCCCGGCATCTCCCGAGCAGGACTGGGGTGGGGGGGCCTCAGAGCGCCGGAAAGGTGGGGCGCTGCCAGTGGGGCGGTGGGCTGCCCGGGGGGGGGGGGGCGTCTGCTCCGTCCCAGGTCCCGGAGGACGTCATGTGGTCCCCTCAGCATGAGCGCAGAGGCACCGCGAGAACGTATTTAGGGTCTCTGGCACCTTGAGGGGCTTACGTGAATTCTCATGGGCTGGACTCCTGTCTACAAGTCCCCACAGGACATACGTCGCCTCATCGGCTCCCCTTCCTGCCCCGGGGAGAGAGCACCGAGCTTTTCCTCCTCCCAACCCGGAGATGCAAGCAGCCTCTCCAGTTACCCAGCGCGGTGGGGCCGGGCCGCGGCTCTGGGAGAAGCGGGTGAACCGGCTGGAAAAGCATCTGTGGGCCCGCGGGGGACCTGGGGCCCCCTACCCAAGGTCAAGTTCAGACAGGCTCCCAGGTGCGGAACATTCAGTGTGGTGAAAGCACACAGGGACACCGGTCCAGCTGGCTGCCAACCAGCACCTTGCCCCCCACGGCCTCTTTCAGAGCAGCCGGGTCTGCCCGCGCCTGGGGACCCCCTTACCTGACCAGGTCGATGGGCTGGTACTTATAGAAGACCCCGTAACTGGCCCATTCTTGATACAGGAGCTGGGGGAGAGGAAGCGGCAAAGGCCAGTGAAAACGTAGCTTTACTTCCCAGTCTCAGCTCACAGGTGCACCATCCATTCATTCAACAAACACTGGAGAGCCGGCCACACACCGGGGACCGTGCTGGGCACTGGGCTTTCGGAGGTGAGCACGGCAGACACAGCCCTGTGCCCCGGGGCTCCCGTTCTGTCAGGGGAGACCCCCTCAGACCTTTCAGCTCCCATAAGGGTCTCAAAGAACCCATCGCTGTAGGAGCTAAGCTGGCATGGGAGGAGGTAGGGGCCTCCTTAAAAAAATTTTTTTTAATGTTTATTTTTGAGGGAGACAGTGAGCAGGGGAGGGGCAGAGAGAGAAGGAGGCTCCAGAGTGCAGAGCCCGACACGGGGCTCGAACCCACAAACCGTGAGATCACGACCTGAGCCGAAGTTGGTCACTTAACCAACCAACTGAGCCACCAGGTGGCCCCAGTGGAGGTGGGGGCGTCCTGAGCAAGAACGGGCTGCGTTTTTAAGTGAGGACAGGAGGGAAGCTTCTGGAACCCTTATGATTTGATCTGGAATTGATCTAAAACAGCCCAATCCTGCGGCGCCTGGGTGGCTCAGTCGGTTAAGCATCCGTCTTCAGCTCAGGTCATGATCTCACAGTTCATGAGTTCGAGCCCCGCGTCGGGCTCTGTGCTGACAGCTCAGGGCCTGGAGCCTGCTTCTGATTCTGTGTCTCCCTCTCTCTCTGCTCCTCCTCCACTCATGCTCTGTCTCTGTTGCTCAGAGATAAATATTAAAAAAATTAAAATAAATAAAAATAAAACAGCCCAATCCTGTGACGCTTTTCCTTTCAGAGTTCTCGTGGCCGTCAGACCCTATGTCATTCTTTATAAAGGACAGAAACCACCAGGCTCGGGGAGCAGAGAAATACCGGTGGCCAGATTTTTAAAAATCTCACAGGACACAAAGAGAGCTCGACGCTTCTCTCCCGAGATGGGCTGTCTGATTAGCGCGGCTTCGTGAAATACATGAAATCTGCCCACACCCCATTCGCCCCCAGGCTCTGGGCAGGGACGGTAATGAGCTTGGTGGATTGAAAGCCCTGTATGAACACGCAGACGGTGCCCTGGGAAAGACACCACTTCAGGACTGCTAGTTTTCAAAAAGAAATCCCACCCGGGTGGCAATCGGTGCTTTACTAACCGTAACTCAAAGCCAAGTTGCCGCGGCAGCGGGACCCCTGTGTGCGGCCGCCGCGGGCATCAGACAGGAAGCAGGAGGGGCAGGCGTGAGCGCAGCCCGGGGGCTCCCGCTCTCTTCCGTGCGACACGGCTGGCCTTGTGCCCTTCCCCATCTCGTAACACTTAGACCTAACATGTTGGCGGGTGGGTCTCCTAGACTCACGCCGTGCTCTGGTCCCGTGGAAACCCCACCCCAAACGCTCTGTGCTACAGATCGCGTGCGTGTCCCCTCCCCCGCCCACCCTAATTCATTATGTCGAAGCTCTAATCCTAATATGACTGTAGTTGGAGATGTATTTGGCTGAAGTAGTTACAGTTAAATGAGACTGTGCAGGTCAGGATTTGATCCGAAGGGACTGGTGTCCTTATAAAAAGAGACACTAGAGGGGCGTCCGGGGGGCTCAGTCGGTTAAAGGTCCGACTCTTGGTTTCGGCTCAGGTCATGATCTCACAGTTTTGTGTTCGAGCCCCGTGTCGGGTTCTGCGCTGACCCGCGCCTGCTTGGGATTCTCTGTCTCCCTCTCTCCCTGCCCCTCCTCCCACTCTCTCTGTCTCTCTCTCAAAATAAACTTAAAAAAGAGAGAGTCGCTAGAGCTTTCTTTCTCCACGTGCGCATGGAAAACATGGTGAGACAGCAGGTGCCCGCAAGCCACGAGGAGGGCCCTCCCCTGAACTCGGCCCTGCTGACCCCAGGACCTTGGACCCCCAGCCTCCAGCACTGAGAGACCTTAAACGTCTGTGGTTCTGCCGTAGCGGCCTGAGCTGACGGACACACCTGCCCCCACCTCCCCGCAGGCCGGAGCTGACAGATGTGGCTTCACGCGCATGCAAAGATCTTCAAGTAATTCTCTGAAAATTAACCGTGCGCAAGCGGCTCACTGGGAGGGGTCCTGCTTCCCCAGGCCGGGGAGGCAGGGGTCCCTAGAAAGGACCCTGCAGCCCTCCGTGTCCTCGGGATCCTCTGCAGCTCTGAGAAATAATATTCAGGGGAGAAGGCAAGCGCTGCGATTGCTCAGAGGTCAACGTACGCGCCCCTTCAGAGCGGGAGGGAAGGTCTCAGAGAAGCAAGTGCACCCTCGGGAAAGCGTAAGCAAACCTTTTGGTCAGAATCCTGGGTTTTGCCTGCTCTGATCTTTGTCAGAGGAGCTCTCTTTAGATTTTAAGTCTTTCTGTGAGTGCTCTGCTCGGAGCTCGTTCACAGGGTCCGCGTCCTGGAGGACTAAGGGCCAGGCTGGTCGGTGGGCGGCCTCTGCAGCCCCCTAAAGAACGGGGTGCGAGGGTCTCCCCAGGAGGTAGCAGCTCCACTCTTGTGCTGAGATGTGGGCTCTGCTGGGCCCTTAGTGGGCGTCCTCGGACTGAGTCCGCGTCCCGAGTTGCAGGTGGGGGTCTGGTGGGGCCCCCTCCCTTCTGAGCCCATGACAGGCTGTCCTTCCCCCCTCATTAGGGGGGGTCCCCACGGGCTTATGCCAGAGACCTGGGGCTCGCCGTGTCTCAGCAGGCCCCAGTGTGCAGAAAAGGGTGGAAAGTCACCCCAGTTTCACTCTGTCAAGAGCGAACTTTGACGAGGGTGCAGAGCACCCCTGGGAAAGCAAAACGGCCATCGGTGGCCCGGGCAGCTTCCTCCCCTGGGCCGAAGTCAAGCTGTTGCTGTGGACCCCACGCGGGCTGGGAGGCGCACCGGAGACGGGGCCAGGCGGAGGAGAGAGGGACAGAGAGGGACAGAGATCTTGCTGGGGGACGGAAGCCCCTCTCAAAGGCGTGGCCATGTCACACCGCTGCCCGGGGAAACTGGCCGACAGCAGGCTGGCCACCATCCACTGGTACACGTGGCAGATGGGGGTACACCCTGCCTCTCTACACAACCACTTTCCCTCCGTGGAACTTTCTTCCTGCCAAGAAAAGAGTATCAATCACCCTGCAGCTGTCAGCGTAGAGAAATCAAATTCAAGATTTCCCTGTTAGGGTTGGCAGAGCTCTGAGGGTGCACCTCAGCCTTGTGAGCAGAGTGGGAGGTGTGAGGGCCCTGGGGTCGCCCAGTGGGGGCTGCTGGCTCCAGTCACAGTGACCTCGGAGCCTCCCAGCACCTGGACCTCAGAAGGAGCCTGGTTCAACCCACTGGCACCTCTCCTGCGCAGACCCCCCACCTGGGCCCATGCGGCTGGGCGGGCGCGCTAGGGCACTGATGTTGCCTTTAATGACTCTGTATGTATCTGTCCCTTGCTGTCTCCCTCCAGCATGGAGGCCCGGGAAGGCCGGGCTGGTCTGGTTCATGTTATCCCCAGAGCCTCGAACAGGGCCTGGAGCAGTGACGGGGTCCTAGTAACTAGGGAAGGAGAGGGGAGGGAAGGGAAGAGGGAATGATGGGTCAGGGTCCTGTGGCTCTCGGACTGGCACAGGGATGGAGACAGCTCCCTCCACATCTGGAGAAACTCCCTGCTCCATGTCCCCAGATGAAGGAACGCTCACTCCCAAGGCCTTGACCATCAAGCTGACAGTGGTGGCCATGCTCCGCCTTGGCCCTGGCCTGCCTCCTGCTTGAACACCCTACTGTGCGCCTGCTCCTCCGGCTCAGCATGGGAAAAGGGCCTTAGCTGCACTGCAACCCCCTTTCCATCCTGTGAGGCATCTAGGGTCAGCCACTGACGGGACCAATACTGGGAGAGCCATAGACTTTGTCGTTGGATACTCAGAACTAGGCCACTGGAGATGGAGCCACATGGGAGAAGGAGAAGCTCTCCAACGCTCTGAGTTAGGACCCAAACGCCTTTCTGGGACATTCCTCCCACCCTCCCTGCCTTCCATCTGTCCATCTTCCATCTTCCACCCACCCATCCCCACCCATCATCCATCCATCCATCCATCCAGCTACCCATTCACCCACACACCCACCCACCCATCCCTCCATCCCATCCATCATCTATCCATTCAGTACTCTCAGACCACCCCCATGGGCGGGGCCTGGTACTCACTCCTGAGACCCTGAATTCAGTGGGGGTGAGGGGAGTGGAGGGTGGGAACAGGTGGATCTGGACAAACCTAGAGTCATATTTGCTGGGCCAGGCGCCCAGCGGTGCCCAGTACGTAGCTCTTGAGTAAGTAACCGAATGAGATGGTTTCGGCACTGGGTGACCACCAGCCACGTCGTCTCAGATGAGCGAGGCGGCCCGTGTGACCGGTGCTCAGGGAGGCAGCGGGGGGAGGTCCCTGGTGCCCTAGGAGGAAGCTTTCTAGGTGGAGGAAGGGTGCAGACAAGTGACCCGGGGGCACAAAGGGATGGAGGGGGCGGACCCTGAGGCCCAGGCAGGCCTGGGGAGGGGACGGCGCTGCTCTGACAGAACCGAACGGGGGAGCTCTGCAAGTCACAGGGTCTCAGACGAATGCCAGATGTCCCACTAAAAATAACCAAATATGTAATTTTTGAGCTAAATCAGATAGTATCTTCAGCTGGATTCCCGGGCGGGCAAGTTGTATCCAGTACCAGAAGTTTAAAAACACGTCCGGGGGGCTGGAGGGAGGCGGGAATGGAGAACATTTCTCACACGGAGGTTCCCAGCCCGAGACTTGGGACAAGGCCACGGTTGTGAGGCTCTGGGGGAAGCACCCCCACCCACGGCCTCCGGAAGGAGGGGCGCCTGGGGGACAGTCGCGGGTCGGGCGAGGGCTGGTCTCCGAGGTGAAGGAGTCCGTACTCGGTTGGGAACTGGGAGGGGCTCAGGTGGACGTGGGGGGAGAGGCTGGACGCCAGGTGCAGGTTTGTGTGCGGGATGGCTGGGAAGAAGCTTCCGGAGTGTGGGGGTGGAGGAGACAGGGCCACAGTGCACAGTGGGGGGGTGGGAGAGCAGTGGAGGAGAAAGGGGTGACTTGGTGTCTCCCCAAGTGTAACCCCAGGTCACTGCCTTTTCCATTAGAAGGGGTTCCAGGTCAGGTAAGTTTGAGAAACACGGTCAAAGGTGTCCACAGGACTCCCCAGGGCGCGGAGGGCGCGTGGCCACAGGGGTGCCCAGACCTCCTCACCGGGAGCCGGGCAGGATTAGGCCCAAGTCCGCAGGGAGCGCGGCGGGTGGACCACGTGGGTGAGATACAGTTTAGGGGTGCGCGGGGAGGGTCCGGGGGAGGAGCACGCCCTGCCCTTCGCGCGCCCCCCGCTAGGTGCCCCGGACACGTGTCAGCGCCGGAGGGGGGAGCAAACGGACGGACGGACTTCAGCCCCTTCCCCCAGGCGGGGGGGGGGGTCCCGCAGGGGCCTCAGAGCAGCCCCACCCGCCAGGGCCCCCAGCGCCGAGCAGCGCGGCCTCCGCGCCACGTCCACTTACTTTTCTGTCGTTGAACTCCACGTTTTCGCCCTCGTAGTCTCCCTGTTCAAGAGGAGAAAGGAGAACTCTCACGACCTGACGCGGCTTCTGAGCAGCGCAAATCCGCTTCCAAACAGGAGCTCCTGCCGAACTCGCGGACACAGCTGAGATGAGCCCAGACAGCGCCTCCCGGGGCAGGGAAGGCTGGCCCGGCCCAGCACCTCTGCCGGGCAGGCCTCCTGCCTTCGCCCCCGTCACAGAGGCCACGTCCAGGAGCGGCCCCACGGCCACTGGCTAGGAACTGGCGGCATGCGGGGGGCGGGGGGAAGGATTGTTTCCACAGGGCGAGCGTGCCCCCACCGCGGGACGGGCGCTGCGGGGGTGCCGGAGGACAGGAAGCTACGCGGTGACTGAAGACAGATCCGTCAGCCCCACACTCCCATTTCACACACGGCAACACTGAGGCTCAGGGAAGCAAAGTGACTTCTGTGGGACAGACCGCTAAGCTGGTCGGACCTGGGACTTGGGTCCAAGTCTCTGACTCCAGTGGAAGAGAAGGGGACCTAAAGCTCAGACGGCCCCGCATGCCGACAGAGGTGCCAGGGGCGCAGGGCTGCAGGGGCCGCAGGGCCGCAGGGGTGCAGGGGCCGCAGGACCGCAGGGGCGCAGGGCTGCAGGGGCCGCAGGGGTGCATGGGACACAGGGACGCAGGGGTGCAGGGGTGCAGGGGCCGCAGGGCCGCAGGGGTACAGGGGCCGCAGGGGTGCAGGGACGCAGGGGCGCAAGGGGAGGGCGCGTGGCCCCGCGGGGCTGGCCTGGCCGGGGGTCTTGAAGATCGCGGAGGCCTCCCTGAGGCCCACCGGGTGCCTGCTGCCCTCACGGGCTCCTCCTGTGACCCTCCCGCCCCCCAGGCAGGAGCACTTGACCTCGTGCTCTCTGAACAAAGGTGCCCTGAGACCAGTGTCATTAAGGCCCCCCGGGGCTTCAGGGCACCGTCCGCCCCGGCCCAGCCGCTGAGGCTTTCTTTCCACGGCCACGCCCTCCAACGGCCTCTCATCTATTCAGGACCTCGAGGGCCACACGTGCCAACAGGGAGGCCACCAAGCCTCTGAGCAGCCGCCCAAAGTGCCGGTCCTGTCCCTGAATTTGATACACTAGTTCCAGGAGGCCTCCTCGGGGTCTCGCTCAGGGCAGACCCCCACTCCACAGGTTGCTATGGCAACCATGCGGCGTCTCGGAGAACGAACGAACGGATGGACGAATGAGCACAGTAAGCAAGGCCTTGCGGGGGGGGGGGCGACGACTCAGTGGTGCAAGGCGGATGGTGGCAGAGGTGAAGCAGGGACCACGCAGCACGCAGCTGAGAGCCTGGGAGTGTGACTTCACACTGCCGGCCTCTGCTCGAGCGTGTGGGGTGCTTTTGGACCAGTTCAGAGCGACTTATCTCCCCAAACGTTCCAACATCAGCTTTGGTACCTAAGGGGTGGGTGTCCTTCAGCTGTGGTCAAAATCCACGGCTATAAAACCCCGTAGTCCCTCAAGACGCCCGGAGTCCTTGCTCTGGCCGGAAAGAACCCCAGAAGTGGAGCTGGAGGCTGCGTGCCCCTGGATAAACTGCTTGGGCAACCGCAGCCTCAGTTTTCCCATCTGTAAAGTGGGAGCAGGCCCCACATGGACGGCCTCTCGACTGCCGTGTAAATAAGGTTCAAAGCTGGGCCCAGCTCCTCCACAGAAGCCGTGTGACCTGGACCAAGTTATTATACCTCTCTGAGTCTCCGCATCTGCACCAGATGAAATGAGACAAAGCACCTACTAAACACAGCTCTGCATACAGCGGGCGCTCAGAAGTGTTGATTTCTACCCTTTCCCTTTCAAGCCTTGAAGGCTGACTCCAAACAGGCAAGGGTGGTGCAGAACAGGCCCCTGCTCTCAGCAGGGGTGAGCAGCTCTAAGGCCCAGCGGTCTGTGAACTGGCCCCGGGGCTGCTGGGCGGGGCTGTGCTCGGGGAGGCAGCCCGGTGAGCACGGCTGAGGAGGGCATGACGGATGGTGATCGAGGCCCCTTCAGCCAGGGCCACTGGCCGGGCCCTGCGAGGTCTGGGCCCTGCCCTTGAAACACGCAGCAAGTCCCTGGCCAAGGCAACTTAACCCACGCAACCCAAATCACCACGGTGTTCATTCATCGAGCACTTAAGTGCCAAGTGCTCACCTTTCCTGAGACCTGTGAGCAAGGAATGGCAGCCGGACAGGGTCATCTCTGTGGGACGGGGGGCTGGGGGGCTGGGGGACAGCAGCGCAGGGGCGGGGAGGGGCAGGGGCGCGCTGATGGGGAAAAGGAGGGCTTTGTGTGGACGCTTGGTCTGTCCTGGGGGACCGAGGAAGAGCCCGCAGACGGGAGGGACAGCATCCCCGAAGGCACAGAGCTGGGACAGGTGACCCCACCTCCCCCCAGGGAGCGATGACAGGCTGGCAGCTGCGTAGCTTTCTCTCAGAGTCGGCGGGCGGGCGGGGTGGGGGACGGCCCTTTGCTGTTCCGGAAACTGGTTTTCTCCAGTGCAGCCTCTTCCTGGAGGCCCTCTCGCCTCTGTGTTCCCTCTGACACCGGCTGGGAGCCATTCCCGCTTGCAGATGGGGACACCGAGGCTCAGAGGGACGACAGGGGCTGCAGAGGGGGGCGGCCAGGGTGCCCTGACTCCCCGTCTGGCTCCTGCCTCGGGGCCCCCAGTCCGTGCAGCCACGCGCATCTGGAAAGTTCCAGAGGTCCTCTGTCCGGGGTTCCCACACTGCTCGGGCCCCGCGGTGCATTCCCAGTGCCCTGCTGAACCCTAGCCCTGTCTCCATAGAGACAACGAGAAGAGACTCATCCGCCCCGGCCGAGCCAACGCGCGGCCGTGGCCACGGGCTATATTTGTCGGGGGATACCAGAGGGATTTGGAGATCCAGCTCAGGAAGCTGGCCACTTGCTCTGCAGAAATAGATACACACAGAGCCCGGGTCATTCTGCCGGGGCGGGGGCGGGGTGGCCGGGGAGACCCAGGCAGGGGAGACATCTCAGGGAGCAGCCGGCCGCCGGGACAGGGTGTCGGCCACAAACGCCCCTGCCCCGGTGGGCTTGTCCTGCAAGAAAAGACGCCCCGGGTGTAACTGCGCAGCCCCCGCTGGGGTGGCAGGGAAGGGCCTGTGCGGCTGACATTTACAGGAGAGCCAAAGCAGGAAGCCAAGACCGCAGGATAATTAGAGCTCCCTGGGGGCGTGGCCCGCGGGGATTCGGGGCGGCCAGTGACGCAGAGGCAAACTTTGTCAAGGTTACTTACATCGTGCAGGGGGTAGGCGGCCGAGTAAACGCCATTGGCCAGCAGGCTGGTGATACCTTAAAGACAGAGGCGGAGGGGGGATTAGGGACCAGCTCTGTCTCCACCTTCTCTCTTTGCAAACAGAGCAGTCCCAGGACTGACTCAGTCGCCCAGAATTTTCTCAAAGCCAGCTGCACCAGGCGGCCCAGAGCCGGGCCGCCTTTCTGGCGTTTCCTCCCCGGGCTCGACCAGGAGACGGTAAAAACATGCTCTATCGGCAGAATTAGGGAGACACAGAGGAAAGTCCGAGAGAGAGGTACCCCTGGGAGGAAGGAGGTACCAGACCTGCAAGGCACCAACTACCCACAGCTGCCGGGGGGGGCGAGTCTACAGACGAGAAAGGTGGATCGTAAGTGGTTAGAAAAGCTGAATCACGAGAAAATGACGGACGGGAAAATTGATGGTGTCAGAAAACACACATACAATTTGCAATTAGATTTTAGGTTGATTGGGGAAGAGGCCGAAGGGGAGTCCTGTGGGCCCCACGGGGGGGCGGAGGCACTTACCGTACTTACTACATTTTCTCCTTTTATTTAAAAGGGCAGAGTCCTTCTTTCTTCCCTCTCCTTGCCCTGTTTGTACATCGGGCTATTAGTTACATGAAAACGTCTGAAAAGACTGAAGCTGCATTTGGGGGAGAGAGCGCTGGGCGGGGCGGTGGCCGGGCCTCGACGGCTGCCCCAGGCCCTGTGCTGCCGTGCGATGACAGGCACCACACCTGCGCCTCCCAGGGCCCGGGGGGGGGCGGGGAGCATCGGCGCCCAGCCCCTGGAGACAAGGCCGTGGACGCCACGCGTGGGTGCCTGGCACGTGGTCCCTGGGGGCCAGTGCTGGTCACAGGAGCCCTTTGCTGCCACAGAAACCTCTGCCTGGACAAACAGGCTTTGCGGGTGGTCAGTGGGTCAGGGTTTTCAGTGGCCTAGCCGGCCCATCCTTGACCGCTCCACTGGAGAATGGTGGGAAAGCACCTTCCTGAAATCCACTTAAAAAGAGACCGTCTCCTCAGTCAGTGATCTGGAAGGATCAGGCTACCCGAGGAACAATTAGAAATCCAAACCAGAGAGACGTGGAAGTGAACGGCTAAAGACCACGTGCATGAAAATTCATCTAATAAAAGTGGGTGTGGGTCTGTCTGATTCAGGTTCATTGGCTCCTTACTGGTCCTAGAACACTCTCAACAGGGTGCTGCCACAGGGCCTTTGCACAGACCGCCCCCTCTGTCTGGACCCCTCATTTTCTTCAGATCTCTGCTCAACAATCTCCCCTCATCAGAAAGGCCTTTCTGATCACTGGTCCTAAGTCCTCCTGGCAACCCTTCCGACCCCAGCAAGACAATGGTCTGGCTTTTCTGATCATTTAGTATCTGTTTTCTCTCCCAGAATGTGAATCTCCCAGCAGTTCTTGTTACAAGGTGAATGTGTGAGTTTGGAGATCAGTAGGGCTTTTGGGTAAAAGGGACCGAGGTGAAACGGGGGGTGCAGAAAGGACCCTTCATCTATCCGCTCTGTTGTCAGGCGCACCAGAGAACTGGCGGGCACACTCAGAGAGGTCCACCCCAGTGATGACCCTGAGCAGCGACCAACTCCGGCTGAGAAGCCCCCAGAGCCTGCACTGTTTGCAGACCTTCCAGCAGCTGCGCAGGTGTGCGCCGGAGGGGGCCCCACGGGGAGCTTACGGGCAGACCGAGGTCTGGGACACACTGCAGGCGGGGAGCACACCTCGGTGACCTGGGCCGCTCTGGAAGGTCCTGTCCCCTGTGAGGTGGGCCAGGCCGAGGGGCATGGTTCTCCCGGGCTCCTCCTGCCCCGCGAAGGGGCCCCCCTCCCACGGACTGACGACATGGGCTTAGACTCCAGGCCCAGAAGGAGGCCCTGCGACTGGCCGTCGGGCGTCCCGGCCAGGACACATCATCCCGCCTGACTCCAGGGGGTGTGGGCTCTCCTCCCCGCGCCCTGGGCCGTCCCCCAGCACACTCCCCCCACCTCCGCTGCCTTCCCGCAGCACTCTCCCCTCCGCAGGAGGCCAGGTGTGCGAGGGGTCTCTGTCCTGATGCACTCTGTGTACCCCGGGGGCCGTGCGTGACAGCTCTCAGCCGGCGAGCGGGGGCTCGAGAAGAAGGGGGAACGAGAGAAAAGGGCATTCCTTTGCCCGGGGGCATTTCATTCCGGGGACCTCAGCCTGCAGCTGCGAGCACGGGGCCCGCGCAGGGGTGGGGCTGGGGGGTCAGCTCTGCACACCTCGGTCGGGAAACATCTGCACCTGTGGCTTGAGGGGTCCTATAAACCCGCACCCGAGGTGCCCGGCCGGGCTGGTTTCGTGGCAGGTTCTGAATCTGGGGTGTGTGTCAAGGACGTGCCTTTCGGCGAGGCCTGGTGCGGGTCCCTGGTGGGGTGCCTCCCGCCCCCACCCCCACCGGAACCCTAACTATTTCCCGCCGGGCCATGAGGGCCAACAGCGGGGGGAGGCGCCTTGGCCACCCCTACAGCGTCCAGAGGCCAGGATCTACCACCTCTGCAGCGCGAGCCGCCCCCCCCCCCAAAGCGCAGGCAGAGGGAAGGGCATCCCGGTGTCCAGAGCCTCAGGCCCTAAAATGGCCCCACGGTCCCGGGCGGCCCTCTCGTCTGAAACGGCCACGCCAGCTCGAATCAAAACACTCTCCAAACCCCCAAACCGGCGGCCCGCCTCCCACGGAGATGATCGGAGGCAAGATTAGCGCTGGGAGGGGCGCTGAGCTCGGGCCCCGCAGCTCCTCACCCATGCTGTACTTGGCCTTGGTACACGTTGTTCTTTTCAGGATCTCATAGACCTGTTGTGGAGACAAGACGCAGGGAGGACAGTTATCCAGGCAGCAACGGCACGCAGACCCTGCTGGGCGCCGGCCGCCAAGCGCCGTGGCCGAGCGTTACCAGCAACAACACCCCCCTCCCCGCGCACCCCCCCACTGCTCTCCGGGGACACACGGCCAGCCTCCGTGAGGCTGCATGTCAGCACTGCCGAGGGCGTGGCGTTCTCGGGGACCAGCGTGGCGGAGGGTCCCCTTCCCCCCATGAGGCACGGACTGTGTCGTGCTGCTCGGGGTTCTGAGTTGTCCCCGACGCCCTGTGGGACGGGCCATCCTCCCTTTCGACTCGGAAGGGAGCTGGGATTCAGAGCTACGGGGACCCAACCGACAGGACCCCTCCCGGGTGCAGCCCTGGGTGTCCCAGAAGCCCGAAGTGGGGATCCCATGCCCCCAGCCTGGGTCGGGAGGCGGCAGAGCGTGGGGCGCCCGGCGGGGACCCCTGGAGGGTCCCACACCATCCCTGCTCGGGGCCAGCTTTACTAACAAAGGCTTCACTCGGTGGCTTGGGAGCCGCCTGGCTCTGCTCCTGGCTCTCCTCGTAGACGCTAGGGGCAGGCCGCCCCACCACCCTGTGCCTCAGTGAGGCGGCAGCGCCCTGATGCTCTGCCTTCTCCCTCTGCTCTCGGCCCGGGGGCTTCTGCCACTGCCCTCCCGCCGGTCCGGGGCGCACACCGGGCGCTCGGGAACCGCTGACCAATGCAGGAGCAAGCCACTGGGTCAGGCGCCCCCTCCCTGTCACCTCCCGAATCTTGCCGGCGGCCCCGTCCTGGCCTTGCCGATTCTCCCGTAACCACCTCCTCCCATCCATCCGGGGTCACGGCCCCGCTCGTAACCACATCCGCCTCCACTGGCTCTAATGTCTTCGGGACAGATCTGATCACATCCCAAACCTTGCTCTGCACCCTTCTGTGGCTCCCCAGTGCCTACAGGCTAAAAGTCTGAGTCCCGAGACCGACATATCCGGCCCTTCCTGCTGATCCGGACTCCTACCCACATGCACATGGGGCGACCTGAGGCCAGGAGCACGGGGGAGGGGGCAGGAGGGGCTGCCGGCCTCCACCTTTGCCTAGAAGGACCTCACCCCAATGCCAGATACCGTCGGGTCTCAGAGACCACGGGGCCTGGCTCACCGAGGGCAAAATTCTGACCTGCCAGTTTCTCTGGAGCACTGGCAGCTTACAAACTGGCCTTCGAGGTCTCTGAGAGCGGGTACCCCCAGCCTAGAGGTAAAACTGGGGGTCATGGACTGAGCTTTATTTTCTAGAGATCCCTAATGAGATGGGGTCTAGAGCTTTCCATTCACATGTGCTCCCCCTTCCTCAGAGCACGAGTGAATTCACAAATTTGCACCCCGCCCTGCACTTCTGGGGGCCTTCTGGCAGCCCCCCGATCATGTAAAAAGCTGGGGCGCACGCACGTCTTGAAACCGGGCACGAGGCTCAGTTTCCCTAGCTGGCCGTCCCAATTCTCTCCGATTTCATAATGACGAAGATAAGCCAGAGGGCCAACGTCCTCACACAAGCGAGTTCCTTCTCGTTTATTCTAACGAGGCTTAATTCCTAAGATTAACCAGTAACACAGCGAATGAAAATCTCGGGGTTGTGGCCGGTCACCCTGCGTGGGGGGGGGGGCACCAGCGCCTCCCCCTCCCCCCCAGCAGGAGGCCAGAGCCACTTGCTCTGACGCAGGCTGGGTGTCTCCTGAGGTTATGAGGCTGGGAGCGACCCGCGCCACTGTCCTGCGCCGGGCCACCTGCCAGCTCGGGGGTGCAGCCTCCACGGGCAGTTATCTGTTCAAGGTCCATGGCTTTCCCCCCTCCCCCCAGCCCTGCACGTCCCCCTCCAGGGGCAGGGGAGGGGGCAGGGAGGCAGCGGTGGTGGCTTGGCTGCGGGGCTAATTTTTGTGCAGACAAAAGTCGGGTCCTGAGCCGTGCGTGGCCCAGCTTGGCTGGCGGACAGGCTGGCGGCTGACGGATAAACACTAAACCGATACCTTGAGCAGGGCAGGGCGGCCTGGTCAGATTTCAAACTTCAGTTCGCTGCTCTGGCACAGCCCACGGGGCTTCGCCCCCCACCTCCCAGCGCTCCTGCCTTCCCAGCAGCCCGCTTTGAACCCTCCGGGTCCGGGGCCCCCCGAATCCCACAAAGGGCAGGGCAGGAGGTGGGGAAGGACGCTGAAGGGTCTGGGGGGGGGGCTTCCCCTGGGCCCCTGAATCCTCTCGGTTTTATTATTCTAATTATTGGTGTCACAGGCAATTAGAGCCGCCTTCCCCCAGGAGTGTTGCTGAAATGAAATTATCTTCCTCGGCTCCCCCGGGCCCCCCTGCTGGTGAGCCAGCGGTTCCCACGGCAATACTCACAATGGAGCTTCGAGTTTTGCTGTCGAAAAAGGAATCCTTGTCAGACAGGTCAAATCTGTTGAAATATTGGGCGGAAAGAGAAGCAAGGTTCACCAGGCTTGGCTCTCCCGGTTTCGCTGTCCCCAGGAGCCGTGACCCCAAACGCCAGGGGTGACCCAGCCCTGGGCAACTGCAACAGCCCATTTCGTGCTTCCCACCCCCGGCCGGGAGGCTCGGACACCCCCACCTCCCTCCCAAGGATCTGACACCCCCAGTCTCTGCCTCGGCTGTGCCATCACACGCTGCCGGCATCGAGGACAGGCTCCCTGTTCTTTACGCACGGTGTGAGCCCTGACGTCTTGGTCCCCGCAGAGCTTCCCTGAAGTTTGCGGAGGGCAGAGGGACGTCTCTGGGGTGTGCTACCCCCTCCCTGAGGCACTCAGGATACAGCCGGGGAGGGTGGCTGTGTCCCCACGGAGCCTGTGGGTTAAGCCGGGCTTGGCAAGGGGTCGCCAAGGGAGGCAGCCAGGGCAGAGCCAAGGGCGGCTCGGTGTGGGGTGGGCGGGGCCGAGGAGGAGGGCCCCTCCCTCTAACACCCAGGGAGCCCCGGTCCTGGAGCCTGTAGAAGGAGCTGGGCTGGGGGCCACTTCTTAAAAGTGTCCTGTCCCTGGGAGGATCAGGAAACACAGTGGCGTGTGCAGCACGTGGTCCTTGGCCTCTGACTGACACCTTTGCCAGGGCAGGAGCCCCAGTTCCGAACCGAGAAACAGCTCTCCTGCCGGGGGGGACCCCGCCCCCACGCCCGTCCCCAGGCTTGAACTCAAGGTCCCAGTGGGCCCAGAGCCTGAGCCTTCTCTGTTCCCACCACTGCTCACACTCCAGCTGTGTCTGTGAGGCGCCATGGAAGCTGGCCCCCCACCCCTGACCCACTACTCCTCTGGAGCAGCGTAGGAGGGAAGGTTCCAGAAGGTTCCAGAAGAGGTGCAGCACTGCCAGGCAACCCGGCTGGCTGCGGGTCCCTGGGGCATCGGGACTCCAGCTGGGGCTCCTTCTTAGTCCCTGCCTCCTGGATGGAGCTCGGCTGCTTTCAGGAGGAGCGGTCCGCCAGACCTTTGCCTTGGACCGCCTCCCGAGAGGGGCGGAGCCGGGAGGGTGGGTGGGGAGGAGGTGCTTCGGGGCTTTAAGCCAGGTGCGAGCTCGCTCTCCCTCGAGCCCACCCCAGTCTTCCTACGTACCCCCCAGTGGAAGGACAGACCGTTCGCCTCATGATTCCTCGGTTGACCATGATCTTGGAAATCACCCTTGAACCTCTTCTGCGCTCAAGCACTAAAGGCTCTTACGAGAACGTGCTTTGGGGGCTGAAACTCCCGCATCCTTGGGGGACGAGAGCTTCCCTCGGCCCCCGGGGACTGTCCTGTCACACACTGTGCCACGGGGTCCACACAGCAGGGCCCTCCGGGAAGGGCCGCGCGGGCTGAGGGAGGGGTGCTTCCCCACTTACAGGTGCTGCTTCTCCCGGGAGAAGGGGTAAGAGAGTCTCTTTGTGGTCTGGGGTCTGTGCTCTGCCACCTTGGGCTGGATGGGGTCCGTGATCTTCTGGAGCACGGAGTTGATCTTTCTCAGGAGGCCCCGGGTCTCGTTAATGTGATACAGCTGCAGGGCAGATGGGGGGTGTCCGCGTCATCTGCTGAGCCGCCACCCTCGCCATCTATTCTCAGAAGGTCACAGAACCGTGGGCCCTCCGCGCCCGCCGCACCCACTCTCCAGATGAACCCAGTGAGCTCCGAGTCTGAGGAGAGCCCACCAAAAGCACACATCCTCTAGAAAAGCTGCCTGTGGACTTTCCTTCATTCCAAAAGAGGTAATCCAGACAGTCTCAGTGGACCTGAGAAGCTGGGGGCTGATCTGCACCCGAGAACAGCTTCACCTTCCTGCTTCCCTCTCTGTGCGTGAAGGTAAACACGGACGCCTCGCTTCAGGAACACGCTGTCAGGCCGCTTCCGGCCGGAAGTTTTTAGAGATTAAAAAGAAAAATCCCAGCAAGCTCAGAATCGTAATTGAAAGGAGTCTGATGAATCAGCACAAGCAGGAAAAACAAGAGCGAGAAGCCTGTTTGTGTTGATGCGGGTCCTCTGCCCCTCTGCCCGCGCCATCTCTTGCTGCGGTTTGGTCCGGGGTCTCTAATGGCCCCCCGGGGCGGCGCCACACCCTCCACAGTCAGGACACGGGAGCCCACGGCCCTCGCCGGGCTTCTCGCCACAGCCGAGTCCCCCCGGGTCCCCACTCTACGCGCCCGTGCGTTGCGACCCTCAGACCTCGGGGCACAAATGCCAGCACCAACCTTCTTTGTCGGCATCTTCAGTTTCAGAAACTCGGCCTCTCTGCACAGCACGTTCCAGGGCGCGTGGATTTTTACGAATCCAACCCCGTGGATTTTAGTCTGGAAGGAGACAAGTGGTGGGTCAGCACCGGGCGCCCTGGGGTCGGAAACCACCTTCCCCCGGGGGCACGACCGCAGCTGCCGGGTCACCCCTCCTGGCACCCCCTCCCTGCGGGGTGCCCGGCGGCCAGAAGGGCACGGACGGGGTCCCGGTCTCAGGCACTCCTGGGTGTTTTCAGGGCCTCCGAGCAGCACGGCCCCAAAAGAGGACCTCAGGCCCATGTGACCTGGCGGGGGCGCGCGCTGCCCCGTGTCCCCAAGCAGACGAGCAAGTGGAGGTGCCCCCCACCGAGTGGATGTCTTCCCTCCGTGGGGTCAGGCCAAGCTTCCACCTGCGCCCAGCAGCCCCCCTGCGCCCCCCGCCTCTGCGCTGACTGCTTCACGGCCGCGTGAGTGGGCGGCCCTGTGCAGGGGCTCGAGGGCGGGCCTGCCCGAGCCTGGCACCCCCAAAACCGCTGAGAGCTTGGAGGAGTCATCGTCCCTGGGCCAGCGGGGGTGGCCGCCCGGGAGCCGCACGGCCAGGGCCCTTCAGGGCGGGAGCGCTGGGCTTGGGGAGCGGGAGTCACGGCCCAGCTTCTCCCCAGGACGAGAACAGCACCCGGGGCAGCAGCGCCCGGCGGTCTTTCCAAAGGAAACCGAGTCTGGACCTTAAGAAGATCCGTGTGCCCCACATTCACAAGCACCGTTCACACTCACCACGACGGGGAAACCACTGCATCCAAAGATGGACGGAGAAAGAAGATGCGGCGTGTGCACACAACGGGGTACCCCCCGGCCACGACCCCGGGCGGACCCGGGCCTTCTGCTCGGTGAGGTGACACGGAGAAAGAAGGCACCTGACGTGGGGTCTTAAAAGGCTGATTTCACAGAAACGGAGACTCGACGGGCTGCCAGAAGCAGGGCAAAGGGTGCGAGCTCGCGCTAAAGAAGAGGACCCCGAGGTCCACGGGCAGCACCGCCAAGATCACTGGAGGCGTGGCGGCCACCCCGCCACGTCCACGCACCTCAGGTCACCGTGCGGTGCGTCACGCGTGTACCATTCGAGCCGTCAGTCAGTCGTGCGTCCGCACCCACGCGGCCTCGCCCCTACCCGTGGGTCAGAGGCACGAGCCTCCAGCCCCTCTCGGTTCATCTCCGAGCCTCTGAATTTTGTGTTCAGGTTCCCTTGATGGTGCCCACAGCCGCCATGAGGTAACATGAGGCGCGTGTGGCATAGGCGGGCTTCCCGAGCACCCGGGTGCCCCGTGGTGGTGACGTCACCGCAACAGAAAGCAAAGACACAAACACGGCTTGTCCGTGAGCCGGAGGCGCCTACGCAGCGAGGCCGCAGCCCCCCAGACGCCTCGAGGGCCCCCCGGGGCTCGAAGCCCAGGCTGCCCCAGACGAGATCCCCCTCACTCTCCTTTCCACGCTCCTGTGGCGCCAGGGACTGCCTGGGGTTCCTGGCAAAGGGGTGCGGAAGGGAGGGTGTGGCCCGACCCGGCCGGGCTGATTCGGCGCCTGCGTCTGCCTTCCAGCCCGGGAGGGCGCACAGCACACGGGTTCACTGCAGGGTTTGGGGAAAAGCAATGGAGCCGAAGTCACCTGGAGAGGAAGGTTACGAAGAACATCCTCGCTGGGCCAAACCCATCCACCCACCGGCCGTGAAGCTGAGATTCACAGGAACCTGGAGCAGGTGGGCAGCCGGGCAGGGGAGGTAAAGCTTCTGGGTGGGCCCTGCCTGCACCCCGCCGGGGGAAGGGGCTCTCCCTGGCGCCGAGCTCCATTTGGGGGCTTCCTCCCCACCCCAAGAGAGGGGCAAATGCCCCCCCCCCCGGCTGAATCCCAGCCCGCCCTCCTCGTCTGGAGCCCACGGTCCCCTGGGGGCCCGAGGGAGCCGTCGGGTCCCCTCCCGGCCCCGCTGCCCACCGCTCCACACGTTTGTCCCGTGAGTGGACGAAAGACAAACAGAGTAATAACGACCACGACGGTGCCGGGCGCTCAGTACGTGCTCGTGCCCACGCCGCGCACTGCTGTGTGTTCACTCACTGCCCCCCACGGGCCTGTGGGGGGCGTGGGTCTTACCGCTGTCCCCTCCCCGCCTTGGAGCTCATGATGCGAGTGTCGACCACGCACTGTGTGGCTTGAAACAACGCGGTTCATTCTCTCAGGACCCTGGAGCTGGAAGTCTAAACCAGGTGTCCTTGGGGCCACGCGCCCCCCGGAAGCGCTCGCGGGAGGGTCCTGCCTGGCTCTTCCGGCTGCTGGGGGCTCCAGGCGCCCCTCCGGCCTCCACCCCTGCCACTCCGTGTGCCTCTCTGTTTCAAGTCTTTCCTTTCTCTGCTAAGGACGCCGTGGGATGGAGGGCCCACCTAAACCCCGGGGGGTGTGCCCAGCGACCCTTAACTGAACGCGGCAAAGACCCTTCTTCCAAGTAAAGTCGCATTTGCAGGTACCAGGTGGATGCAGCTTTTGGGGCCGCCGTCCAGCCCGCCACGCCGGGGGTGAACCCGCGCTCGGAGCCCCGCAGGGCTTTGTACGCCAGCCTGGGTGCGTGGTGAGCAGAGCTGCCGCGAAGCCTGGGCCCAGGAGCTGGGCCTGAAGCTCGGAGACACCAGCCGGGACCGGGGTGCTCGGGACAGAGGCCCAGTGGGTGAGGGCCCAGGGGCGGGCCCGCCTGCGGGGAGCCCAGAGCCCAGTGCCGTACCCAGCCCAGGGGTCTCGGGGGAGCAGAGCCCAGACCCTCCTCCAGGGCAGGCAGGCCCGGGAGGCAGCGGACAAGGCCCTGAGATTTGGGGCCCTGAGTCAGCCCCCTGCCCCAACCCTGTGTGCCTCTGGCAAGTGATTCAACCTCTCTGAGCCCATTTCCTCGTCTGCAAATCTCTGCAGTGCAAGACGTGCTGCGTAGACGGGCAGCACCTGGTGCCCTTGGCACCCCCCCCAGCCCCCCGCTGGCAGCAGAGGCCAACGGCAAGGGCTGTCGCTCCTGCTCAGGAACACCTCTCCTCGGTCACGGGGCAGCGGAGGCCGTGCCGGCTAACGTGCCCGGAAGCCCCGCAGGGCACCGGGATCTGAGAGGCAGCAGCACCCCCGCCCCGGTAACTTGTGGGCGCAGCCCCCGGCAGCCCCGAGGGGCGCCCGGACGGGGTAAGCGCCCGTCGACGGCGTCCGCGCGGCAGAGGCTTTCTTCCTGTTACGGACCCGGCGCTATTTCTGGGCACTGCTCACCCAAAACACAGTCTTCCTGGTCCCATGGAGGTTTCTGCGGACGGTGGTCACGGAGCCGGAGCCGGCGGCCTGGGAAAACACGCCCCTCTGTTTACGCGGGCGACGAGGTCTCTCCCAGGAAACATCTGGCGGGATTTGGGAAAGGGGCCGTGGGACCAGGTCGGAAACAGCACACATGGGATGTGCTTGGACGTGGTGCTCGGCCTGACCGCGTCCCCCCTGCCCCGCCCCCCCCGCCCCCCCGCGGGAAGGCGCGAGAGGGCCAGGGCCCCATCCCCCGGCCAGATGGGGGGTGCAGTGAGGGGCGGGAGTGCCGTAGGGCCCTGGCACTGTCCTGGGCAGGGGCAGGGCCCCCGCGCCAAGCCGAGGACACGCTCCCCTGGCCAGGAGCTCTCTGGGCACAAACAAGGTACGTTCAAGCCACACTCGCAAAAACCATGACCTCGTCCGAACTGTTTCCAGCAATTTCCTTTCAGAAGGGAGCAAAAAGTCACAAACCAAACAACACAGCATCCCCACAGGGGACTCGTGGTGGCTGAGCGCCCCCAGGGCTCCCCGCCACACCCCCACAGCCACCCCTGCGCCTGGACGCTCTGAGTCCCGGGGCGGGACCACGTGGCTCCGCCATCTGCTCACAGCCTCCTCCTGCGGCAGCTGAGGGCTCGGGGATTGCCGGAAGGTTCTCGGCAACCAGGACTCGGCATGGCGGCTTCTGGTTGCCCTCGGCTCCCCAGAGAGCTCCCGACAGCGATGCCCCCTCACCCCTGCGGACCCCGGCCGCCTCACCCCCACGGACCCCCGGCCGCCTCACGCCCTGCAGGCTCCTTTCCGGCTGCCGCGTGGTCCTCGCTGAGGGAACGCGGGTCCCCAGGTCGCTGGGGGCACCGGGAAGGTCTCTGTGGCAGCACCCCGTGTGCTGACCCTGGAGCCTCGGCTCCGCTGCGCAGAAGCAGGGATGCCAAGGCCCTTCCCGAGTTCTGTCCGGAAGGGGGAGCCCGGGGGGGGCCAGTTGGACCCCCGACCCCCACCCAGGCCTCAGCCCCTGACGAGGACCCCGCCACGCCCGGTGGGCACCACGAAATGCCGGGGCTGCCCTCCGGGAGGGGTCGTGTTCTCTGCGACAGATGGGTTTTTGTGGCACGTGACGCCCGGTGCCACGTGCCCTGCCAGGCGCACTTTCCGTGGCACGGGTGTCCGTCTGCTCCTCCCGTTGGCACCAGCGTCCCGCACGGTGTGACGTGGAACACAGTTTGGGGGCAGAGCTGTCTGTCTGTCTGACCTTGTGTCCTCGGGATGGGGGGGCGCCTGGGGGCCCGGGGCCCGAGCAGGCCAGGAGGAGGGGCGAGGCCACCGCTGCCGAGCGCGGACTGTGTGCGGCCTGCATCCCGACCTGGCGGCAGGAAGCGCCGTGGCCCTGGCGCGGGGCCGCTGCACCCTGCGGGGCCCGCCCCCGCCCCCACCCGCATGGCGTCCCTGAGGTGCCCTCCGTCTCCGGGCGTGTTGGCTGCGTTCTCCACGTCACGGTCTCTGCGGGCCGCGTCTGCACGTCCAGGAGGACCGTTCGCGCCGCGCACTGGGCAGTCACGCCTGCCACACTCTCCCGGCGCTGACGCCAGGGTCAAGGCTCAGGGGAGCTGGGGGGGGGGCGAGAGTGGGGCAAGGATGGGGCGGGGGGCACTGCACGCCCAGCCCCTGCCCACGGCGTCTGCCCAGGGCCTGGCTGTCAAGGGGACAGATGGTAAACAAACCACCAGAAAGCAGGCACCCACGGTCCTTGCTCTGTGACGGGCAGG